CTTCTGGGCAAGTTCAGTGACGCTCCCTGGCCTCCGGACGCCTCAGCCCCGAGTGTGACAGCAAATCAGGAGAGGGTTCGGAGACTTCCTGGGACTTCCACCGGAAAGACTGCCGTGATGGACAAGCAACGTCTGTCAAGAGCACGGCAGGAAGCGCGCCGTGAGGGAAGCCCGGGGCTGCGGCCCCAGCGCGCGGCTCCGACAGTCCAGGTCTTACAGCCTCTCTGCCTTTTTCAAGCTGATCAGGACCATCTCCTCATCAGAAACTACCCTCATATGCCCACAGTGCTTTTCGCCTTTACTTTAGTTAGCGTGTATTTCACTCCAAATGGGATTCAGAGCTTTCCGTGCGGCCTCCGCCAGATCACCACACCCACTGGCATTCCTGTTGCAAAGGGGGATCCGCCTCTGAACGGCCTGTTGTCAGCTCAGCTCCCCTGGGAGGAGTGCTAAGTGGGTAAGGCAGCGGGGACCTGGGACCAGCACGGTGGCAGGCCACTGGCAGAGTAGCCACACGGCCCGAGCCCAGGGACTCAGCCACGGAACAGCGCAGCTGGCCTGCAGCTGCCAGGGCTGCCGGGCAAGGAGGTCATGTGGCCAGCAGTGTGGAGGGCCACCCCACAGGGCGGCGCCCGCTGGCACACAGGGTAGCAAGCAGAAAGGGACCTGAGGGAGCCCCACCCAGAGACGAGCCTGCCAGCAGAGAGCCACGAGAGAGCCATCTGTGCTAACTCCTCTGATGACGTCTTACCCCTCACCCACTGGAGCCCCCAAGACCAGCCTGCCGCCCTGGGCTCGTCTGCAGGACCACCGCTCGGGGCATAGCTCCGACCCCACACCCGTCCCCTGCCCCACCCTGCCCCGGCCGGCGTTCATGGGCCTGCCAACATCTGCTCCCACAACAGTTGCTGCCTGTTCCGAGGCCGCTCCGCCAGCCTGGGGGACTCAGTGTGTGGGCAGCCGCCATCAATCACACCTCTGTTTCAGCATCCCGGCCCCTCCTCACAAGTATCTCGCTTCTGTTCGAAGCACTGGTGAGAAACACAATTTGTTGCTCTTTCAAGCTGACCGGCCTGGAGTTAAAAATACAGCGAGGACCATGACAGCCAGGGGCACGCCATTCAGCGGGTCATCTGTAATTGTTGCCTTTTCTGCAATCTTCGCTCACACGCACGCCGTCCGTGCCTAAAGGGCCCCGCGCAGCTCAGGTCGCAGCCAATGATCAACTGACGCCTGGTGGTCTGGCCAGGTTGCAAAACAACCACCAACCCATCCTGTTGACAAAGGTCCTGCCGATGAACAACACACAGGCTCAAGCTGGGCCCTGCCCTCAATGACACACATTGTCATCTTGCAAAAGGGAGGCTACAGCTTCACAGAAAACGCCCAGCAGAAGGGGCCTCGACAGAGCAGAGAGAAACACTGCACAGGGAGGTCGCGGAATCGGACCTGGCAGGGCGGCCGGGCCTGGCCCCTGGGGCGCCTTCCAGCGGCTCACTGTGTGAACCCAGCCGCGGCCGTCACATTCCAGGGGCGGGGGCGGCCTTCCTGGACTGGGTCCCTGCGTCGTTTCTCCCCGGGGGTTCTCCTCACTACAGTCACCCTCCTCCCTCAAGACCCACAGCCCTGCCCGCCAGCTGAGCACTGAGGTTTTAAGGAGACAGGAGGAAAGACAGCCTGAAAGCTGTGTCTAACCGCCCCCCCGCCCCCCAGTGTCCCAGCCGCAGTGCCGCAAAAGTCAAGAGCCATCGCTGCCAGCCGGCCGACAGCTGTGTTCCGGAAATGACGCTGGGAAGGGACAAGACATCCGGAGGGGTGTCTGGTGGGCTCCCAGGTCGCTTCCACCCTCGTGCAGGGGGTGACAAGTGTAAGATGAGCCCGCTCACACAGCTGTCCTCGTCCAGCTGTGCGACTGCGTCCTGCCACCACGTCACAGGCCTCGGCTCCGAGCACGGAGCCACGGCAGGCTGAGCTGAGCGACGGCGGGCCGCCCTCGCCAACAGACAAGGTCCAGGCAAGACGAGGCTCAAACGAGAAGTCAGCGGCAAGGACAGAGAAGGGAGGGTAAAACCGGAATTAAAAAGATGGGCAAAAAAAGGAAAAGGGGGTCCTCACAATGCATAGAGTGTGCCTCCCGGGAACATCACCTTCTCATGCCGGCTCTGCCTGCGGGGTCACATCCACCCCTGAGACCCTCTGCCGCTCGCTTGGGGCAGTGCCCCCCTCCCCCAAGGATCCTTGCTCACTCCCGTGGGTGTGCACAAGGGCAGGGCCTGGGACCTCAGCGCTACCTGTCCTCCCCTGCTGGTCTGCCTCTCTCTTGTGTTCCCTTTTCTGCTGACAATTGCAGGGGCCCTGGCTACCATCCCCACTCCAGGCCCTTCGCCCCTGGTGCTCACACATCTGTCCCAGGGGGTCTGCTCTGGGCCCTGAAGGCCCCAGCCCATCGGCCCCTCCAGGGAGCAGGGGTTTGTCAGAAATCCCAAAGGTCTAACCAAAAAGGCCCTTGGCACCTTCAATCCGGGCCTCTCAAGCACCTGGTCCCAGGCTCTATGCAAAAGGGGGTCCTTTAGAAGAGTGCTCAGTTGGAACCCCCTCCTCCCAAATAAGCAAATGTGTAAACAACATCAAAAGGCCCGTGAAAGAGCCCACGGCCCAGCCTGAAGAAGGGACAGTGGGAAGCATGGAGCAGCACCTACCCTCAGCACAGCCCACCTTGCCATGTGCAACTGCGCTCACCTCCCGGTGGTCGTGAGGCCAAGTGAAGCCACAGCCTGTCAGACTGAGGTCTGGGGGCTGGAAGTCCCACACCAGCTGTCAGTGGGCCGTGAGGAGGCCCCTGTACACACGGTGCTGTGCACACCCCAGCTCACAGGGTACCAGGTACAGACAGGGCCCCTCGTGTTCCAGGCTGGGTCTGGGCCGCTTTTCAAATGCACGGCCACTGCCCTGGGCCAGCCTCCCAAGACGTCCAAGACTGGAAAAGCAAGGGCCGCCTCCTGAAACCACCAATCACCCCGCGGGGGACTTCAGCAGGCAGAGGCTCCTGGAGGGAGGGCTGGCTGGGTCCACAGGCTCGGTGGGGGGCTCCGGTCCATCCCCAGGGTGCTGGCCACGGCCCTTTGGCACATGCACTTCCCTGAGGCCCCTTCTCTTTCCCTGGACTCTGCCCTACCCAGGCCCTGGCCAGGAACAGACAGGCAGAACCCGGCAGCCTCCTCGGGCTCCTGGAGACCTGCCTGGGCCTAGTGAAGCAATCTATACATCTGGGCACAGCCCTGCCGAGAAGCATGTTTTTAAACTGCTTCTACCCCAGCGAGGACGGGAACTATCACCAGTGGTGCCAGCGGTGTTATTCCAACTTGTGGCCAGTAAAATATAATCACACGTGTAAGTTGTTTTTATTGCCTATCTAGCTTATTAGCTAATAAAATAAGCTCAGCATTAAAAAGTTAACTGAAGCCATTTATCACACCCAGAACTCATGGCTCTGTGTTTCCTTCAGAAGTCACCCAAATCTGTCACCTCTCCAGCCTTTTTTACCTATTTAAATTTCTCCCAAGGAGGAAAATTCCACCCCCGTGTCCAATGTAAATGAATGCGCTCCATCGCTGTCTAGCTCTAAGGTCCTCGGGAGAAAGACAGGGACACACCTGGAGCGGTGACGGGAGACATGGAAACGGGAAAACGAGGGGCCAAGAGCGGAGGGTTGCCAGCCCTTCTTAAGGGCCCCGCCGCGCGAGCCCACAGGCGGGGGAGGCAGGCGTGGCCAGACGCTGGGCCAGGAGTGTGCTCTAGACTCAAGACCCCGCAACTCTTCTCTGGTTGGGGGACTGTGAGGCTGGGTGGGGAACTAAAGGGGAGAGAAGGAGACTCCGTCAACTGAAAGTTTTTTTTCATTGGGAACGAAAGGAGGCCCAGCCAACCAAGCAGCCCCAGCCACAGAAGGAAGCGGTCATGTAGGCCTGAAAAGGAGTGGGCACGGTGAGCCGGCCTGTCCAGGTGTGGCCTTGGGCTGCACACACAAGGCGGAGCCCTGGTGGCCACGCGGGTCTCCGTCCGGGCCGTGACTGATGCTCACGCAGCAAGGCCAGAAAAAGACGATGGTCAAAGAAGAGCGCAAGGCCCCCGAGGGCCTCCTCGACGCAGGGCTCGGAGCGATGCATCCCCCCACCGCATCTGCCGGCCCTCAGCGGGACGGGCCACAGGGACGCACCTCGCAGCCTGGGCCTCACCGTCCCCCTTGACCTCCCTGGTAAGAACCAAATGCAGATGGTGCTGAGGCTCCGAGACTCTCCTAACGACGGGGCATTGACTCCAAGCTCATCTCGCTCAGTCGAGGTCAGTGTCAGCAGGAGGCAGGGCTCCCAGACACCGAGGATGAAGTGCAAGCGATGGACGCGACGCGCGGCTGGAGGCCTCACCCCAGCGAACGGCAAGACGGTGGCAAGACGGTGGCAGCCGGCGGCGACCCGGGGGACGGCGATCGCGGTGTCTCGCTGCTCTCATGTGTTCAACAGTTGAAGCAAAAGAAAAAGGGCCTCCCCGCCATCTCTCCTTCTCTAATACTGCTCCCCACAGCCCCAGTCGCAGGACCAGCCCACTCCGAGGGGCAGTGAACGCAGCCTGGGCGCCCATTCCTTCCAGCGGCTGCAGGGGCGCCCCAGCGAGAGGCTCCATCCAACACAGTGCCCGAGGGAAGGGGGCGACACCGATCTAGCCGCAGGCGCCCTGCCCCTTGCCACTGTCTGATCACCAGCACTGTGCTCACGGGGACAGGACATTTTTGATTTCCAATGGAGAAAAACAGACACATTAAAAAAAGACGACGATGACGACGATTTCTCTTTGAATAGGGTTTGAAAATACAAGGCAATGACCCCACTGTGCGCCGCTGGTGAAACTGGCACCACCCTTGCCCAGGCCAGGCCAGGCCCCGCGAGGCCCCACTAAGTGCTCAGCTGCCCCTGCAGTGCCTCCCGTGCAGCCGGGGCTCTTACCTGTGCCATCTTGGCCAGGTCTAGGGAGGGCCTCTGCTCCTGCACCTCCTCGGGGCGCCGCCGTTTGACGCCGACCTTCTTGTCATTGAGGACGCAAGGCTGGGAGCGGCTGCGCGACAGCCCGCTGGGGCGTCGGGCCAGCTCCGGCGTGGAGGCGGGGGTGCTGCTGGCAGAGGGCGCGCAGTGCTCCGCAAAGGAGAACCGCTCGTGCGAGCAGGAGAGCGACCGCTGCATGTCCAGCCGCGCCCCGCCCACGGGGTTCAGGTCCGGGCTCCAGATGTCGCCAGCCTGTCCGCAGGTGGCTGAGCTGGGTGCCCCCTGGCCGGGCTGGCCGCCAAATCGGCGGTGAAGCCCCACCGGGTCGCAAGGCGAGGCGAGCACGTCGGCCCGGGAAGGGAGGCTGAAGCTGGAGCTCCTCTGCATGGCGCCGAGGCCGCTGGAGTAGCGGGGCACGCTGCCGCCGCTGTAGCAGCGTCTCTTCTCCACGGGAGTCCAGACTTTGGACCCCAGGGGCCTCCATGATGTCCGGCAGCTGGACATTTCGTCAGAGAACGACAGCGACCGGCACTGGCGCTTGCTGGGGGGTGCTGAGGGGTTCCCGTTGTGGTCACTGAGGCTGAGGTCTTTGATCAGGTTGGTCACCGCGCAGGCGGTCGCTGCCTCCCGGTGCCACAGGGTGCCGTCCGGACACTTCTCAGGCAGGCACTCCCAGATGCTGGCGCTCGGCTGGTCAAGCTGGAGAGGGCATTTCCTGTCCAGGTCTCGCCATCTGTCATTTTCTGGTTCATAAACGACAAAGAGAAACAGGATTTGAGGAGCCCTTCATGCCAGCCCTCTACCTCCTCACCAAGGGCCTGCTTTACACAGGATTTTAGAGCCAGAAAGGCCCTTGAGAACCATGTGGTCCAGCCTCACTTCACAGAGGAGAAACTGAGGCTCAAGAGAAGGGATGTAAGTCCCAGGTGTTGAGTGAGAAGCAGAACGAGAAGCCTGAAATCCAAGTATCCCCCGGACTCCTGGCATGCTGTCCTTTCCAACATACTGCCTCCCAGAAAAGCCCAAAGCAGTCCTTCTCACCCAAAATGCTTTCTCATGTTATAGATGGCAAACCAACCTGCCCTGCCCCTGCCCCCGCCCCGGCAGCAGCAGAGCCAGGCAGCAGGCCTGCCACATCCATCTTTGCGCTCTGTGGCCCTTGGGCTGGGACTCCATGGCCCCGGCAGGAGACCATGACCAGCGGTGAGTCGATCGGTGCTTCGGACCGGGGTCAAGGTCGAAGGGGCTAGGGGTGTGCGGCCAGGTTAGTTTATCTGAATTCCACCTTCAAAATGCTTGCTGGCGTTAGATACTGGGTATTTTAACGACTTATGTTCCCCACCACCGAAAGGCTCCACAACAAAAACAGCAAGAGCCGCCAATCACCGAACGCTTTCCTCGTGTTCACTTGATGTCTTGCTGAAATCAAGGATGTTTAAAGCGGTTAAAATCTGCTGGATCAAGTCTTGGCTGCAGAGATGTGCGGGTCCCGGCCGACTTTACAGGTCTATCCCTGAACACATGAACGAACAAGCTAACCCTGGTGTGAAGCGCCAACTCAGCACTGGGACCTGTATTTTAGTGACACCGTCAGGAAGCACTTGCCTTCCTGCGGTGGAACCCGGCACTGTGCTGGGAGGCGCAGGAGCGCAGAGGCAGGCTGGCCGCAGCACTGCACACAAGTTTCCAATAGAAGATGAAGCCGGGGATCGACACGGTGGCATGTTCCTGTCTGTCCTCACCTCCCTACGTTTACAGTGCGCCAATGCGAACACAGAGAGGCTACGGCTTGAGTCGGGCAGCCAGGGGAGGGGCAGGAGTCAAACCTGAAACGACCGCCGGCAGGGGCTTCCCGCACTCCGAGTCTCAGGGCACGGCCGCCAGGTCCTGAGCGTCCACCGGCGGGGGGCAGGGGGCGGGGTGGAACGGACCCACACGGCGCCCAGCAGGGGGCCGCCGTCACTGCCCACGTGGGGGACCGAGGCTGGGAGGGGGGCACGCAGCTAACAAACGACAGGACGTACCACACACCTAGGCTGGCCTGTGCGCTCTTCACCACACTGCGGCACGGAGGGGAACCTGCCCGCGGCCCCGTCCTCGGGGGCGGGGGTTCCGGTCCTGCAAGAGCGCTTCATGCAAAGGCAACTGTGACGCGACCTCCGGGGTGGCTCTGGGCAGCAAGGACACCGCACCTGACTCCCCGACACCGGCCGCTTCCCACAGGGCACTGAGAGACGCCCAACGCACCACCCCACACTGAGTGTCACAGGCAGCAGCTACCTGACGGGTTCAAAGAGAATGACCAGTGAGGCCTAAAAGAAGCTCCATGAGCCAAAGGGGAGGCCAACTCAGGGCGCGGGGGCTACTCCTCCTTCTAGGACACTCTGCCCTGTCCTGAGCCACAGAGCCCGAGGGCCTGGGACCCTGGCAGGGACACGGCAGGGACCGTCCAGAGGCTGTTCCCACAGCCGGGCCTCAGGAGCTAGAGATGCTGGAGAGAGAGTTCCTTAAGCGCAGCCAGGCCAGGCGGGAACAGAGCAGGGCGGCCCGCAAACGTCCAGTCCACCTCGGCCTGAACTTCCCGGGCCCTGGTGTGCGGCAGCGGTCGGTCCCTGTTCCTTTAACTGAACCGGATAAATGACTACCAAGAATTACCTTTCTGCAAGGAGCATGTATGCTGTTCAAGATGTGTCTGCCGCTACCCCTCTATTCATCACTCTCTTAACACGGTTTAACGTGCCATTTGTCAGCTGTTGAAAGTTCAGTAAACTGGTAATAAAGTGAAATTAAAAGAAATACTAACGAACGCTGACTGAGCCACGGCCGTCTGTTCCCTGATTTACAACAGTTGTGCTCAGAAAAAAGGCGCAGGCTTCAGTGTGATGACGCTCTTCAGAACGACAGGAGACAGAGCGAACAGCGAGCGCCCCCGGACGCCCCCGTCAGGGCGGCTCACACACGTCATCCGGGAACAGCGCGGGGCGTGGAAAACACCCAGTTCCGGAGCACCCTGACGGCGTGCGGGACCGTTAATGATGTAACGCTGAGCGCAACCGCGCGGACCTCGGAGGGCGCACACAGCGTGATTCCTCTTGAGTCAAAGATGCCTGTCACATGCGAAGATAAAAGTAAACCGAAAGGTACGCGCTCCCGAGGCAGACAGCTGGCTGGGTTGCGTTTTCTCCTTTTTGTTTTCCTGCCGTTTCTGCGCTGTCTCTAAGGACCAATGTATTTCCTACTACATGGGGGACCTGGCCGCCAAGTCTGCGGGGCCGGGCCAGGGTCAGGGCCAGGGCTGGTGATCCCACCCTCCCCTGGGTTTGCTGCTTTGTCTTTCAGGGAAGTTCCCAGAGAATAACACTGGCCACCAACATCTCTTTGGGGACAAGGCACCGAGGCGCCAGATGGGCCAGGAATGTGGCCAGCTGAGGAAGGAACCAGTGGGACCCGTCCCCAAGTAGTGAGGGCCCCGAGATGGCACCTCGGTGGCCCCTGCTTAAGGAGCCAGGGGCCTATGACTGAATGTGCCTCTCCCGGGCCTTGGGACACCCATGGAATGACAAGAGATGGAGCCCATCCTCAGAGGACACCCCTTCCTGTTGCATTGTCCTGGAATTTCCCCATCTCTAGGGAAATCATGAGAAGAAAGGGAGGACTGGGAGCCAGATAAGCATGACTGTTCTGTCTCCCTCGCATGGCCATCTCGTGGCTCTGGTGCTTCTGGACCCCTCTGGCCTCCGACCCCAGCCCACGTCCTCACAGCCTCGGAGCCCTTTGAGGCTCAGAGCTCCTGTGGGCCGGCTTCAGCAGCTGCCCGCAGCCTCGCAGAGAGAGTGCAGACACTTCAGCCTGCACCCTGGTCCCCAGCTCCTCACCACCCCCCGCCCCCAGCAAACCCCACGCTCCGGGCACAGCACATGCTGTGACATCCACCCCAAGTCAGGCACGAATCAGGTGGTACCAAAATCACCTTGAAAACACCAGAAACAGCCCTGGTTTTGTGCCCACAATCCCCTGAAGAATACCTCTTCCACACCAGAAATTCTTTATAAAACTGAAGCCTGCTCAATCGACAGCAGGAACGAACACAGGTAGCATCTATGGGTAGGGGGGTGGGCGCTGTTAACTACAAGCCCCCAGGGGGGACCAGGGTTGGAGGGCTAATTGTGAGGTGCCCCTGCCTGCCTGGAGGAACTGTCCCACTGAGAGAACGTGTCTCTCTGGCCTTAACATACAAAATGGCTTTGTTGCCAGGAAGATGCAAAGAGTCAGTTCTCACCTCAACCCGCTGGTTCCACGTGAGTACAATGTGACAGCAATGAACCTGCAGCGCCTACCTACCACCCCCTACCGCCCCCCTCCCCCCAACACACACACCGGCTCTTTCTCGGCTTCATGCCTGTGCAAAGGTGCGAAGTTCTGGAATGTTTTCCTGCCTTCATCCTTCCACCAACCGTCTCTTACCCTTCATTTAAGAGCTGGCTCAAAAGCCACTTCCTCTGCAGACACGCCTTCCCCTTAGCGGCCCCTGGGCACCCACAGCTCTTTGCCCAGACTTCCAATCATACGGCTCCTGTGTTACCTGAACCTTACTTGTCTGTCTCTGTGCCTCTCACTGGGCCATGGGAGCTCAAACACAGGCCCAGCGTGGCTCCCAGGGCCCGGCACAGAGCCTGGTACACAGCAGACCTTGGCTGGGAGGCGTGCAGGCTGCAGGGAGTGACAAATGCAGATAGAAGCTGCAGAGCAGACTGTGGGTGTTCACCTGGTCTCACTTGTCTTTTGTCCCTGGCACAGGGAACCCTTCCTGGGCCAGGCAGGTACAACCTGGGCTGGGCCTTGACCTCCCCACCCCACCGGGGCCACGGACAGGTGCGTGTCAAGCAGCCAGGAGCCTGGCCGGAGGGGTCACGTCTGAGACGCTCTGAACACTCGGAGAGCATAGCTCCTGTGTGTCAACCCCTGCCAGGTGGCCGCTGGTTCTGTCTGCAGGGCAGATAATGTTTTAATTGTTTCTATCTTTATCGCTTTGAGTGGTATATATAAGAAAAGTTAAAACAATCGAGGCTATGTTTAGCCCTTGTGTTTTCCCCCTTAGCTCAGGGAACAGAGAGAGATTTGTTGGGTCAGGTCAGCGGACAAAAGAAACAGGAATAGAAGGTAATTTTTAATGGCAAACTGCCCTGGGCTGCGGGCCCTGCCGCTACGCCATACAAAGGAACTCGGTAGGGCCCCCGAGGAGAGGCCACCGGGCACCCCCCCGCCCCTCCATTCAGTGTCACTTCTGCGCAAACAACCATAACTCTTTCAAAAGCGACAATGGCCACGGACGCGGGCAGCCGACACAGCAGGCGTCACTTGGGGAGCCGGGAAGGGTGTGGGCCTGGGTTCTAACCTCAGCTCTGCAACTTACTTAACCTCATGGGGCCTTGGTTTTCTCATCTGTAAAATGAGCGTGACAGATAACAATCCCCTCGCAGAACTTGCTTGAGAACTCAGCGACCATCTTGTACAGCCCACCTGCGAGGGAAGCGGGGCAGGGGCGCTGCGATGGCAGCCACCAGGAACGCTCAGGGAGCGGGGCAGGCTCTGCTGCCCTCGGCGCCGATCCCTGCGGGCTCTGGCCGGCTCGGGGGCCCTGACGCTCCACACCCGGCTTCCTCAGTGTTGTATAGCCCCTGACCTGGCAAACAGAACCTCTGAGGGTAGGAACCAGCATTTTTAATAAGCTGTCCAAGTCGTT